GCTTTTATTTGATGTGTTTTGTGTTTTAAATGAACACAAAAAAGCAAATGATGCCAGTAGAGGATTACTTTATGCTCTTGGAGTGAGTTTTATTTATTTATTTTATTTATTTATTTTATTTATTTAATTTGTTTTATTTATTTATTTGTTTTATTTATTTATTTAATTTGTTTATTTGCTTTTATTTGATGTGTTTTGTGTTTTAAATGAACACAAAAAAGCAAATGATGCCAGTAGAGGATTACTTTATGCTCTTGGAGTCAGTTTTATTTATTTATTTTATTTATTTTATTTATTTATTTGTTTTATTTATTTATTTATTTATTTATTTATTTATTTATTTATTTATTTATTTTCTTTTTTTTGTTTAGAGTTACCAAGCCTCCATTCTTCATGTCTTGCGTTGGGAGCATTTGGACAAACCCTTGCCTCCTCTCCACAAGCTGCAGCAGCAGCAGCAGCAGCAGCAGCAGCAGTTCCAGCAGCAGCAGCTGCAGCCACAGCTGCAGCAACTACAGCCGCAGCTGCAGCAACTGCAGCCACAGCTGCAGCAACTGCAGCCACAGCAGCAGCTGCAGCACCTGCAGCCGCAGCAGCAGCTGCAGCAACTGCAGCCGCAGCTGCAGCAACTGCAGCCGCAGCTGCAGCAACTGCAGCCGCAGCTGCAGCAACTGCAGCCGCAGCTGCAGCAGCTGCAACCACAGCAACAACTGCAGCAGCCACAGCAGCAGCAGTTCCAGCAGCAGTTGCTGCAGCAGCAGCAGCAGCAGCTGCAGCAGGGCTTTCCTACGGCGAGGCTCTCAGAGGGCCTGCACAGCCCGCAGCAGCAGCAGCCGCAGCAGTAGCAGCAGCGGTAAGCGCAGCAGCAGCAGCTGCTGCTGCTGCTGCTGATGCTTGTGCTGCTGCTGCTGCTGCTGCAGTGCCAGCGTATGTGTGCTGTGCTGCTTGCAGCAGCAGCAGCAGCTTTTGCTGCTGCTGCCTGAGGTGTACATACACCGCAGCGCTCGTGGTGTCGATTCCGTTTTTTCGTCGAGGCTTTTTAATCCTCAAAATTAAAAATAAAAAACTAATTTGTTAATTCATTTTTAATTTATTTGTTAATTCATTCAATTAGGAAAGGCTCATCAGCCATGATCAAAAGTTCCAAAAAAGAAAGCAGCAGCAGCAGCTGCAGCAGCAGCAGCAGCAGCAGCAGCAGCTGCAGCAGCAGCAGCAGCTGCTGCTGCGAGCTGCCGCCGGTTCGAACCAGCCCTGACACAAAGCAGCAGCAGCTCTTTACAACATTAGGCCATGTGCCACACCTGCGCAGCAGCAGCAGCAGCAGCAGCAGCATTGCAGCACTACTGCTGCAGCTGCGGCATAGCAGCTTCCCTGCTGCAGCAGCAACGTAGCAGCTTTGCTGCTGCAGCAAAGCTGCTGCTCCAGTAGCAGCACAGCGGCACTGCTGCTGCTGCAGCAGCATAGCAATTCTGACGCCGCAGCTGCAGCAGCACAGCAGCACTGCTGCAGCAGCAGCAGCATAGGAACTGTGCTGCTGCAGCTGCAGCACAGCAGCACTGCTGCTGCTGCCCCGAAGCAACATGAAGGGTCTTGCGTGGCAGCAGCAAAAAGGAAACACTTTGTTGCTCTCCTGCTGCTCTTTCTTGTCTTCTTCAATATTTGTTCTTTTTCTCCGTCCGCTATAAACCCTAAACCCTAAACCCTAAACCCTAAAGCGTATGGCCTACAGCAAGCCTTTCTTTCCTCTAGCGAGGCAGTTCGCAGCAACAGCAGCAGCAGCAAGAACAAAAGCAGCAACAGCAGCAAAGGCAGCGGCAGCAGCAGCAGCAGCAGCAGCAGCAGCAGCAGCAGCAGCAGCAGCAGCAGCAGCAGCAGCAGCAGACAACAGCAGCAGCAGCAGCAGCAGCAGCAGCAGCAGCAGCAGCAGCAGCAGCAGCAGCAGCAGCAGCAGCAGCATCCTGTGAACAAATTCAGCGGACTGCCTGCTGCAGTTGGCGTTTTGTTTCAAACATAAAAAGAGAAGCAGCAGGGCTTCTGGGGATTCAAAATAAAAATTGAAAAAGAAATAAAGCAGCAGCAGCAAACGGAAGCAAACAAAGAAAGCTGCGGGGCTGCAGCAGCTGCTGCAGCAGGCAGCAGCAGCTGCTGCAGCAGGCAGCAGCAGCTGCTGCAGCAGCAGCTGCAGCTGCTGCTGTTTCCTTTTGCTGCTCAGCTTCGGGGGGGCACAGCCTCAGCAGCACTTGCGGCCGACTGCGGGGCGTCTTCTGCTGCTGCTGCTTTTGTTTCTGTTTCTTTCGCTGCTGCTGCTGCTGCTGCTGCCGCTGCTGCTGCTGCTGCTGCTGCTGCTGCTGCGGCTGCTGCTCCTGCAGGAGGAGGGGGCGGGGGCGGCGGCGGCG